CACATTTTACCAAGTGTTTTTTTTTTTTTATCACAGGCTGGTTTTTCCTCTTATCGATAGTCCTTTCAGTACTCCTCTTCGAATTACGTGTTGTATTATTCTATCAATAAATTCATCCTTCTCTGGCCATTCTTTTTTATTCCCCATGGGAAACACAATAACTTGGTATGCAATTGAAATTAATCACAAAAGTAAAATTGCGTAATCACATGTATGCTATTGAACTAGTCACAATTCTCACACAACACCTCTATTGACCCTTGACTATGGTTGCAGTCCCTGAGTACTGGTGAGACCATAGTACTACACAGATCCCAGCCTTTCAAGTGGAAATACAGGAAGTTAAAAATACTTCAATGATTCAATAAACTTTTATATCACTCCCAGACTTAGTAGCAATCCAATCGACTATTAATTCTAAGAATAAAGTAGAAAATTTAAATAAAGCTATAAAAGCAATCAACTAGAAACTTAAATCAGAACAGTATAAGGAAACTCATTAACCCATGGTGCATCGCCTAGTTGCGTTTTCAATTTCAAAGAAATCCCATTTCCAGAAAGAAAAAAAAAACAAATCTAGCAACCAAATTTCTTAAAAAAGGAAAAAACAATTCATCAAACGCATTAATGATTCCATTACCAACCAATCTGAGCTTGAACATATTACTTCTCATGGCAAACCATTATCAATCAATACACGAGATATAGGCTTCGAAGCGAGATGAATGATAAAGAAATTGTGACTTTGAACCTAAATTTTGGGTACTTACAAAAATACTCTTAAAATTAGGAATTTTCGAAAAATCATATGAAANAAAAAGTGATAAATACCAAAATAGCACCATCCATTTGGACAGTACCAGTAATCATGTTTTTAAAATAATCACCACATTCAGGCCAATCTACATACTGATTATGTTAGGAAAATATAACATATTATCTCATTTTTTTTATTTTCTTAAAAAGTGACAAAAACTTAAAAGGTGACACAAAACTGAAAAAAGTGACAAAATTCAAAAAAAGTGGCACAAATTAAAAAAAGTTATACAGATTAAAAAAGTGACAGACAATAAAAAAAAGTGACACACTCAGAAAGTGACAAAATTAAAAAAAAAAGTGAAACTCAAAGAAGTGATAATCTTTTCACGAAATTCACGGGCTTCCTCCTTCTGTAACAATTGGAGTCGAATTTTTCCTTGCAAGAACGTTGGACTGGCTCTCAATATCCTCCTCTTCTTCGATCTCCTCGTTATGAAATTATAAGTTTATGGCGAGTTTGTTTAACAAACTGGTGGCAAATATTCTACTGAATTGACCAAGACATGCATAGCTTTGATATGTTTTGCTCATCATGGTGTCCAAGAATATACGCAAAAGTGTTGTTGCCTTCAAAAATTATATGACAAAAAATTTCGGTGTTCGGGATTGTTAAAAATGGTATCTATCATTCACATAATCCAGTCAGATTAAGGTATCTACCATTCACATAAAACTGAAAATGGAATAAACAATTAGATTCAAGTACCTTAATTATTCTCACACTGAATGATTAAATATAAAATTGAAAATTGTATCTACCATTCACATAAAATCAGTCAAATTAATGTAGGTATCTACTATTCACAAAAAACCAGTCACATAAAACTAAAAATGGAATAAACAGTGATATTCTTCTGAAAACCAACAAATATTACAACATAAAATTAAATAAAAACCATAAAAAAGTATAAACAGCGAAAAAATCTTAGCTACCTTAGGTTTATAAAATTTTGAAGAAATTTTTTCCTTCTTCCCGAAGATCCTTCTTTATTAAAACTTTTTTTTCCCTCTTTAACCCATTAAATTCCCTTTCTCCAATCACATTTGTTTGAGTCAGGTGATGGTTTGCAGAAGCCAAAGTCAGACTCAGTACGGGTTTCGGAGTGAGGTGAGGTTTCTACAATTTTGGGCTTTTAGGGGTTTGGTGTTAAACAGGGTCCTACGAGAGGAGACAAAGGAAGATAGCGAAGACGGCGTAGCAGCGAAGACGGAAGAAAACGACAAAGATGGAGGTTTCCCTTTGGTTTTGGAATTGTATGTTTGGTTGAGAGACGTGAGAGAAGAGGTTTCTCTGGAGGGTGTTTGAGATTTGAGGATTTTAGTTAGGACGTCTTAATTACGATATATGTGAAGTTTAATTCATTTTAATGCATTAATCTAATTTTTATCAGTTTCAGAGTATTGAGCCTAATTTTCCCAATTTTTTTTTTTTTATCATGGAGATCAGGGGTGGACCCAGTTCAGGCGGGCAGCTGGGATTTGGGCCGCCCCAAAATTTTCAGCAACCCATTACAAAAAAAAAAGTGGCCCAATTATTTGGCCCAAAATATATACCACAAGCCCTTAGCCCTGCATCCAACACCGGACCCTGCAATCTCCATCAACGGAATATGCCGGAAATTTCCTCAACCCCTGCGTCGCCGACGCCGACGCCGACGCCACCCACTTCATCCACGTCCACGCACCGCGCACCTTCGCAGCGTTCATCTGGTAGGTGAGTTTTCTATAATTTCAATTCGTATTCTGTATTCATCTGTCATCTGCTTCAGTAAATTGAAGGCGAAATTTAGAAATTGCGTATGAAATCAATTCATGTTGGATTTTTCCGGATCTTTTTTGTAATTGATTATGAATAGATTTGAAATTGATTAATTATAGAGTATATGCAATGGGATTATTAATAGAGTATCTGCTATAGAGTATTGGATTTGGGCCATTTGGCTGTAGAGTCAAGAGTGCAGTCTGTAGAGTTCAAGTGTGCCTGTTGCCTGGTTGCCGGTTGGGGAAAAATTTGAAACCAAGTGTTGGAGGAAAATTTTGAGGGAATAGGAATAACCATAAACCACAAGTGTTGTTGGCTTGTTGCTGTTGCTGTTGCCTGTGGTTGTGCTTGTTTGGGGAAAATTTTAGTATAATGTTTGTGTTATAACTAATACTGCCCGCACTGAAAAAATTTCCTGGTCCGCCCCTGATGGAGATGATGATAAATTTGTGGCCAAATTAAACTTAAATTTATGGAGAATTAAGATTTAGATTGAAGATTTGCAAGAGAAAATGGTGATGGCGAATTTGGGTATCGAAGGCGTGGGAGGTGATAAATGTGGTTGAAATATAACCGATTCCTTTATTTTTGGGGAGTGATATTGTGAGAGAAAAATATCACCTATTTAACATTTCTTACTTTAACTCACAATAATTTAATATAACTTAATAATTATATTATTTAAGTAGTTTATAAAAATGATTTTTTGACCTGATTTTTGAAAGATTTTAACAAGTTAGATCATTTTGAAATTGTTTTTTCAAAGTATGGTAATCATGAATTTTTCCCTTCTTTTTTTTTATTGGGTTGGGCCATTTATTCTTGGGCCCAATACTTAATATATAGGGAAATTATAAAAAATCAAGCGTTTAAAGTTTATTTTTTAAAAATCAGGTGTAAAGTTTGTTTAATCAAAAATCAGGTAATATATTAAAACATAACCCTAATCCCAAACAAAACCTAAATCATTTCTATTCTTTTCCTCCTCTTCATTCTCGTCTCCCTCTCTACCCTCTTCCTCACCGCCTCTACCTCTTCCTCACCACCGCCGCGCCTCCGCCTCCCTCCCTCCCCCCTCGGCAGAGCGCTGCTACTAGGAACCCAGCAGCGATTTCGCTGCTGCTCAGCGATTTCGCTGCCAGCGAAATCGCTGCTGGGT